AAACCTATAGATCCCTGAACATGTACCTGAAGAGTTCCTTTGCATGCACTATATAACCATTGAAGCTGTTGCTTGTCCCCCTCATTTCCAGATGCAAGCTTGTATCGAGTTCCTAATAGATAAAAACGAAATGAGTATAAAAGTTCAAACGGGGGGTTGACATACAGTGGGAAAATGACAAAAGTCGATCTTATTGATATATAGGATAAAACAAAGGTATAATTAAAAGAGAACAAGAGCAATCATAGATCTGAAGATTCTGAACTTATACCTTTTTTTCTGATTAATCACCAGTATCCTATTGAACAACTAATCTAGATCGGGTTTTACTGAGGCCCATTATGGGGGTGACACTCCAAATCTAGTTTGCTCCATTCGCAAACGTCAGAGTATAATTAAAGGATAGACCAACTGCTTGTTGGTATGAACTTACACCCTTAATCAACACTTTCTATATTAATAATTTGTATAGAAGCCATCAAACAGCAAAGTTGATAAGATCCCTAAAATAACGAGGCAAGCAAGATGCAGGAGCATTATAGATGCATAAAGATCACATGCAACACCAACAGAATGAACAACCGATTCAATTAATGAGAACCCCAAACCAGTGCCTAAGGGGAGGAAAGTACAAAAAGAACCATAACAGGACTAAAAGCATTTTTTAACACAGCCAGATACTTGTCTCATCAGTTACTCATCAGAAGGGGGGGGGGGGAAGAAAACAAAAGAAAAAAGGGCAATAGGTTCAGCTATAGGATGTAGGAAGTTACTGGTAGACTGATCATATATGGCAAGATATGGATCCGACTTATTAAATTTCGGTTCTTCAATTTTGGCTTTCCAAAGAGCAATGACTGCCTGAGGCTGGGCATCCTGTTCATATCAAGAATGTAGGTATCATATATAAATATACAAAAAATTAAAAGAATCATGTCATCTCTTCGACTGAATAGTATACACAAAAATCCTCATAGCACAACTATGAAACTATTTAAAAATTCCACCAATTAGAAACCACTCAGTTTGGGCGCTATATTGGAGGTAAAACCAAAGGCCTACACTATGTCACTACACCAAGAAGATTGCATATTACAGCTTCCCTTCTCACATGAAAACAATTTACAAAACACTGAATGTTGGTAAAAATCATATCTATGCCCCTAAAGCAAACTTAAAAGGAAAACCAAAAGGCAATTATGTAATGAATTAAATCGATATAGGAACAGCTCTTCACAAGTTATTTAATGAATAATCCTCGAAGTCGGACTATATTCTTCCAATGGTCTAGGATAATGGCCCAATTGAATATAGAAATCTTAAAGCATTGCGTTCAAACAAGTTGACCATTGTAGTGGCCTAACCTGCAAAGTGGAGTATATGGCAAGCTGAAGTCTGGGAGGCCTCTGGGGATTATTGGAACCACAAGGTATAATCACAACCCAGCTGCAAGAACGCATGGTAATTAGCACACAACACAAGTAATGAATTCATTACAAGGAATTTGAACAATTAATTATATATTTGGTTATGAACTTGAAAGCGTGGAAGATGTTACGGACATTTTCCGTGATAACAACTGAGCAGCAAATCCACCAAGAAAGCCTGGACCATGAAACTCCCGAAACCAGCCAGAGAAACAGCAAATATGATTCTGGATAGAAGAAAACAAACATGAAGCTTAAGAAAACAGCTTGCTATTGAAAGGTAAAAACTTCAAATAAAATACAGACTAATTTCCCTCAAGCATACCTCAATTGCACGGACAACATTTGCACACCCTTTATTTCTAGCGACCTCAAGTGGGGTATGAGAATCATCATTCCTCAATAAAAAGTTAGCTGAAAACATTAATGCCAAAGAAGTGTTCATAATACATGTAACAAATACCAAACTAGATCATAATTCCCCATCCTTCTCCTCACCCCTTTTCCAAGAGTAAAGTAAATAGCATCCTGAACATAACTTAAGAGGATGACATACCGCCATGAGAAAGAAGCAGTTTAACAGTTCGCTCTAGGCCTCTTTTTGCAGCATGATGTAACGGAGTCCCGGCATTACGCCCTAAAACATTCGCAGGTCAATTAAGAAGCAGAGTTAACACAACATACTACATGTTACAATGACAAAAAAAAAAATCAAAATTAGGCCTGTTTAATGCAGTTTAAAAAGTTGTAAGCATAAAGCAAGAGTACATGCACCGTGCAACAACGGATTATTATAAAAAGCGAATCTTGTGCAATAATCAAAATATACAATCAAAAGAAAGCTACCAGGGCGGTAAGCATTGACATTGGCACCCATTTCAATCAGTGCCTTGGCCACATCTATTAATTCAGGATTCATACAGGCCACAGTGAGGGGAGTCTTTCCATCTCTGTCTATCCACTACATCACAAAAACAACTCAGATGACAACTTTCATCATACAAAAATCACACACAATGACACAAGCACGTATTAACCATAAGTGAAAAAAAAACTACTACTTTCATTATATTTAACTATCTTTCCTGGACTCAACATATACAATATAAAGCAAGCTGAAAGGCAAACCAACGTTGGCTAAAGGGCATCTCTTTATTTGCTTTCCATCAAATTTACCTTAGAAAGCTGAATGAATACAACTATTTTAAAAAAAAAGGGAGAGAAATACGTAGTTAAGTTTATGCACCTCAAGGCCAGCACTTTCTCTGCCCAGAGCTTTAATGGCATCCACGTTTCCAGCAATTGCAGCCTGATAAAGCAACTCGTCTTTCGATTGCTTTTGGCGCATGGTATCAAGATTCTGACCCATCAATAAGCTTTCACACGAAATGAAGATAGCCCACAATTTGTTTTCAAGCAAAAAACGAGAAGTGTATCAAAGTTTGAAGGAAACCTGTGAAAAGGTTGTATCAATTGAAGGAGAAAGAGAAACAGAGAGTTGAGGGAAGATAATTTGTTAGATTGAAGGGGTTGTGTAGTTGTGGTGAGAATGGCCACATAGAAAGAGCCAAATGGATCTATCTTTTCATTTCCATGAAATTTCCGATGCTCTTTCTCGTTATGCGCTGTTCATTCGCAACACCAACGGATTCATATACTGTTTCTTGCGCGTTTGTAGTTCCAAAGTTAATCTTTTTTTTTTACATTTTATCATTAATTATTTTTTTAAAACCATACATTTAATAATATAAAAATAAAATAATTATTGTTGTTTTCAAAGGTCATGGGTTCAAGCATAATCGATTGTAGCATGACGATTGAGTATTCATTATCAAATGATTAAGAGTATTTATAATATATACTACTTTATAATTATTTTAGCTTACTAAAAATACAAAAATAAAAAAGATAATATGCAATGGTATATCCAAAAATATTTTTTACTTTAGGCATATATGTATTACTAATAAAAAAATTTGTATAAGGTATGTACAAATAAAATTTCAAAATGAATACCTTCAATAAAATAGACAATTAACATAAAGAAATTCGACACTTACCCACCCTGATCTCCATATACATACGCCACTGATAATATGAGAAATCATTGGAAAAAAACTTTTTCATAATCTATTAACTATTTAATTTAAATAATTAGAAGAAAAATACGATAAATAAAAGGGTAAACTATGCCAATGATTATTAATGTTTGGATAAATGTTCGTTTTCACTACTTATATTTGAAAAGTTATAATGGGTCACTAATGTTATTGTTTGTTATAAAATGATCATTTGACGTTAACAACTATTAATAAATCGTTATTACAGTAACGAAATATTGACGTTGCATGTTAAATCAACTAACTCAGCTTATCCAAGTTATTTGTGACTTTTCAAATATCAGTGAAAAAATAAAAACTTATCCAAATATTAGTGAACATTGACGTAATTTTACTCTAAATAAAAAAATCAATTTATGCAGGGAGAATGCTTGTAGTTTTAATAACAAATAGAGGGCAAATAATCTTTTACTTTTAGCAACTCTCGGCATAGTACTACAACTGACACACGATGCCTTCAACTTTCATGTGCGCTGTATATTTTAGGGTGAATTACGTATTTAGTACATTGACTATCAATATTAATTTATTTTAGTACCTATCACACGTAAGATTTCATTTTAATATCATGTCGTTAAAAACTTATTGAACAGGCCGACGGGGCATACATCCAGTGTACGGATGACCAATGCGAAAGGTGGAACATGAGGTACTAAGATGAAACAAAAACTAAATATTTGATATGGTTTTAGAAAAATGGAAAGTTTGGTACTAAAATTGACCAAAACTGATAGTTTAGGTACTAAATGCAAAATTTACCCTATATTTTATTAGCTAATACTGATAATAAAACCGCAATTGTGTACTTTGTATTTTATGTAGTCATTTGACTCTTCAACATTTCTATAGTATAGTGGTGTTACTTCAATTGGAGATTTTGTTTGCTTCATTTAATTTTCACCTGCTCTTTGATCTTTTTGGTATGCCAAGATATGAAATGTTATGACTTTCTAAATGGTATTATCAACTTCACAATGAAACTCAGTTGGTATAACACAAGGTACTTAACTTTGTGGTCGTGGGATCGAGTCTCACTGAAGGTAATTCATAACATTAGTAATCCGTACACACCTTATAGACGTAGCTTACAGAAATTCGAATCTTGAAAACAACATTCCCTTTTTTTCATTAATACTATTTTATGGGTTTGGTTTTTGTTAAATTACTTTTTCTCGTTTCATTGTTGTTGGACAGTTAACCATATTTTGGAATATACAGCCAATTTCATTTTCTAACAAAAACAAACACTCTTTAGCCAAGAACAACCTTTTCTTTTTTTACCCAGGAAAGCCTATTTCGAGCGTTTGCAAAGCTGGCATGGACTAAAATATAACCCATGCATTACACCCTAATCGCCTGGTAATCCACTTTTACAATGCCATTCATTTATCCATCTCCATTAAATCTCTTAGCCTTCAGGGATTCAATTTCCACCTGGTTCAATTTTCCAACCATGGGGAAGAAGAGAGAAAAGAAGAATAAAGCCAAAGAATCTAGCAAGGTCCAGGATCAAAAAATGGCTAATGCATTCCAACATGAGATTGCCCTCCAAGTTCAGGAGGGCAATGAGGAACCCTTTGAAGAACCTTCATCAGTTTTGGAAGACGGAAAGAAAGTTTCAAAGGAAATGAAGCGAAGCAACTACAAGGCCTTGCTCGAGTTCAGGTGCCGAGTCGAAGACTCGATTCTATCGAATTATCTCTTGGGGAAACCTAGCAGCGAAGAAGAAAGCACAGAGGCCATTCAACAACTGAAAGAGATCAAACTTTGGGGTGTACCTTTATTGCCCAGCAAACAACATGAAGGAACCAATATCGTGTTGTTGAAATTCTTGAAAGCCAAAGATTACAGGGTTCACGAGGCTTTCGAAATGCTGCAGAAGACGTTGAAATGGAGGAAGGAATTCAATGCCGACGAAATCCTCGATGAAAACCTGGGTCTCGATTTCGACAGCGTGGCTTATCTAAAAAGCAGAGACAAGGAAGGTCACCCTCTGTATTACAACATCTATGGTGCCTTGAAAGACAAGCAAGTCCAATGTAAAATACTTGGTTCAGAAGAGAAGCACCAAAAGTATTTAAGATGGAGGGTTCAATACATGGAGAAGGCTATCCGGGAACTCGAGTTTGAAGCCGGTGGAACAAACTCCATTGTTCAGATCATAGATTTGAAGCAGTCATCAGCGCCAAGTACGAAGGAGTTTCGTTCCATTTGTCGAAAATCTTGGAAGTTGTTACAAAACAACTATCCTCAGCTCATCCATCAAAACGTGAGAGAAAAATGTTCTCATCCTGAATAACAAATATATATATTGTGTGTATGTGATCGATCAATATCGTTATCTACTGATATAATTGCAGATAATCATAAATGTTCCCTTGTGGTTTTATATATCCCATGTGTTTTCTTCACGGCTGAAAGCTCAAAGAAAGAATAGCAGGGTTGTCATTGCCAGACCGGGTAAAGTTACCAGCACTCTTCTCAAGTAAGAAATGTTACACAATTTACATTTCAATTCTAGTTTCTTCAAAAATCAAATCTTCCATTGTCATTTTCTTTCTTATGCCGAATTTGTTTCGGAACTAGATTTATACCTGCAGAAAACCTTCCGGTTGAGTACGGAGGTCTCCGAAGAGAGGACGACGACGACGAGTTTTCCTCAAAGGACAAGGCTTTAGTGGTTAAGGCCAAAGCAAATTCAACTGAGCTCATCCAAATTCCAACTCCCGAGGTACAAATAAAGTAACCCGAATCCTTCAATATACCCAAAAACAACAACTAATCTTGTAAGAGCCTAAGCAGTATGTGATTATATCAGGTTGGAGTGACGATGGTATGGGATTTGACTGTGGTCGGATCGTGGGACGTATCGTACAAGGAAGAGTTCATCCCGGACGACGAAGGGTCGTACAGAGTGTTGATACAAAACGAGAACCATACGAAGAAAGGAGGGAGTGTTAGGAACTCGTTTTATATTAGTGAACCAGGGAAGATTGTTATTTCCATTGGTAACTTGTTGCTCAAGAAGAAGAAGGTTCTTTATAGGTATAAAGCAAAACCCACTGTTCCCATGTACGTGAGGATTAAGAAATAGGAGTCCAGTAAATTTCACTTTTCCATTTAACCAACGGTTCAGAAAAGAAAGGGTTTTCATTTAATGATAGTTGCCTGCAATCGACCTAAAATATGGAAAGCCTTTTAAAATTAATTTTAAATTTAAAGATTAAAGGATCATGGTTTAATTTATCTAATTTTATATTTGATACGAATTAAAAAATAATAATAAATAGCTTTTCCAGTCAATGTTGTCTAACAAATTAACATCAGTTATCAAGATTAAAAATATTATAACCTAATTTTAATTGTAAAAGAAATTATTATTTTTTTGAAAATTTCAAATTCATACAATTATATCTACCGAATATCTATTCTCAATAAATTAAAAAAAATTAAACGTATATAACATATAATCCCTTAATTAAATAAAATATAACATTGTTCAACGTCTTGAAAAATCCAGAATAGAGATATTTCAGGCTTGGTAATTAAATAGTATAGTGATTTTCACATGAGTCACACCTGGGTCCATAAGAAAAGATTGCTACCTCCAGGAGACAATTACTAAATCCTTATTAACATCAATCGTTTTAATTTTTTTTTTAAAAAAAGTTTTTTTAAATATTTTTTATATTTATTAAAAAATAGGAGTAAAATTAAATTAGAAATTTAATACTAATTGAGATTAAAAAATATTTTTTTGTCAAATTATATGCTTTTAAAATAATATTCTTTATTAAGACTAAACATATGAGATTAAACATTACTAAAATAAATTCATGGTACAAAATAATCGTGGTGTTTCTGAAAGAAAATACCCAGTCTTGTAATCTTGGCATGTGTTTGCCGGCAAGGTTTGTCAAGTTGGCCCATGCTCTCTCTTTTACTTAATAGTCTGTATATATATATGATGAATTTTAAAATTTAATATCTATAAAAGACATAATTAATATATTATTTATACAGATAAAAATGCAAAAAAAAACCCTTTAATTTAATAATCAATATCTGTTTTATTGGTTGACTATTTTAGATTGAATTTTGTAGAGAAAAAACCCTTTAATTTAATAATCAATATCTGTTTTATTGGTTGACTATTTTAGATTGAATTTTGTAGAGATTTATTATGAAATTGACCTTACTAATTCAGTTTATTCCTTTCGTAAAATTAAAATTTAAAATTTTCAATTTTGCATAAAAAATAATATTTTATTTTACTACATCAATTAATTATTGATAAATCAATTAATTACTATAACTATAAATTCATGCAAAGTAGTACATGTAAACACTGCAATTAATGAACCGAAGTATTTGTCAAGCACCCACATATCAATCGGAATTTTCTTTTGACAAGGACTTGGTTATAGGGTAGCAATCGGACGGGAAAAAAACGAAAAGGATTCGAATTGACGGAATAGGGAATAATCGAAATCTTTACTCACGAGGATGGGGATGGGGATGAAGGAAGTTTTATACCCGAAGCTCATATGGGGATGGGGACGGAGATTGTTATTCGAATCGTGGGAATAGTCGAACCGTACCCGTGTGAATAACTGTGAGGATCCCCGAAAAATAATCGTAGGGATCCCCGATATTTTACAAAAAAACCCTGGGGATCTTCGAAAAATATCTGTGAGATTACGTGTTGCCACTGTTATATCTCAAAGGAACTAAAATTGAAGTTTAGATCTTTTCTCATTTAATATACATTAATTTGTTGATATTGAAAATTGTTAAGATTGTACATATACATTGGGTGTTAGATGAATATTGATGTTTGAAACTTTCATATTATAGATAGAGATCAATTTGAGATAATATGATATATCTTATAAGTTTTAAGTGTTGCATTGATTTCAAAAATATTTTAATTTTTTATTTTTTAGGATGGAGATTAACCGAAACCCGCATGGATTCGTAAGGGATGAATATGTGAACAAAAAAAATATTTGAAACATATAATGGTATTCCCTAAAACTCTGCCTAAAAATGTTAGGGACGGAATGAATAATGTAAAACCGTCCCTCCGCCTCGTTGCCACCCCTACTTGGTTAGTGCTACCCAAATTATTCTATTTTAAAGGACTAATTTGCAGGTCTTTGACAATATCAACATTTTTATTTTATTTTAATATGGTCCCAAATCTTAACAATGATGAGGTTAAAAGTGAAAGAAAAAAACTAAAGGGTTACAAATTAACATTAACCTAAAGGGTTAATTACAAAGATAGCAAGCTCAAAATTCTGGTAATTCAGGTAAATCCACCTCTCTCGTGAAAAGATTATTCCAAAACTCCATGTTAGCATCGCTATCATAAACACTGGAACCGTAGTCATTCACCCCTTCCAATGCTGCTAAAGGAGGAGAGCTCGTGAGATACTGATGAGTCTGTGGGTCCGGCGGAGCAAAACCCACTTGGAAATCGGCGGCCATGCCGGAATTATCAGCCGAAAACACTTCCGACCAGAAGTTCTCGTCGATCTCGAGAACATCATGTTCGTTGGTTTGGGAGTTCGTGGTAAACGTAGTACCGTTGTTGCCGTTTCTGTCGTTGTCGGTTGTCGTGAGTGTTGAAGCCTCGCTGGTGGATTGTTGTGGGCTATCGGCAGGTTGTTCATTTTTGATGTCTTTGTAGGAATCAGGGAGTTGTTGTTGTTGTCGGTTAGTGGCATGGCTGTGTTTAAGCCTCTTCTTCAGGTGGGTGTGCCATACGTTTTTTATTTCGTTGTCTGTTCTTCCCCGTAACCTCGCCGCAATCGCCGACCATCTAAATGAAAAACAGAGGAGAATCAGCATCTCTCAATCTTGTGAAATAAAAGATGGAAATGACTTGTTTTTTAGTGCACATGCAGGTTTCAAATCGCGGTCGCGGTCGCGTTTTCGGTTATTTCGGATTTACCGTGATTGCGGCCGTCGCGGGCGCTATTGCGATCGTCGCGGACGCTATTGCGGCCATCGCAGGTAACTCGGATGACGTCGAAACCGCTATATCACGACCGAAATCGTTATATCGCAGCCGAAATCACGTTGGCGGACCTATTTTTAAAACCCTGTGCACAGGTGCAGTAAAAGTGGTGATTTCGTCTAGTGTAGTTCATTTTTTTGGAAGTTTTAAACGTGGCTGTAATAAGCAAAGTGGCTGTCCCACACCGAAGTGACCAAGTTGGAATCAAAATAGGGCGATGAATCCAATGTAACTAATTAAAAATACACTTACGTTAGACACATAATTTTTTTAATGCCTACATCAATAATAAATAGATAATTAATATAAAATTAATTTTAAGTGAGTATGTGTATGCTCTGGGTATGCTTTACATTCACCATCAATTGTTTTTCTTAGAAGTCTTGTATTCAAGTACTAATAATTGCAATATGTATGATTGAATATTTATTGTTAAATAACTAACGATATTTAAAATAGATATTATTTTATAATCATTTTAGTTTAATTAAAAACTTATTAAAAATAATAAATTACTCATTTAGTCGCTCATTTATTCTTATAATTCCGTTTTGATTATTTAATTATTTTTTTTAAAATCATACAGAACGTTATATTTTAGTTTCGTTTTGATCATCCATCGTTGAAAAACCAACGATAATATTTATATCTCACCATAAAATAATATTATATAATCATTGAAAAAAAAATCACATCAACAATTTTATTTTTCCCTACGCACTGATCAAAATGAAAAGGATAACAATTCAAAAAAGTAGTGGCGTGAATAGAATAAACTGTGTGATAAGTAGGTAACTTATCCTTAAAAACATCATATTTTGATCTCTTGAACGCTGTAAAAATAAAATAGAAGTTGAACAGAAATACAGAAGTGAGACTGAAATCGATACTTACTTGTTACCAAGCATTTCGTGTAAGCTAATAATGGTGTCCTCTTCTTCCCTGGTGAAATTCCCGCGTTTAATATCTGGCCTCAAATAGTTTATCCAGCGTAGCCTGCAACTCTTTCCACACCTCAATAAACCTGGAAAAAAAACCAAAGAAAGAAAGAAAGAACAAGATTTAAAGACGCGATGTTTTTTTGGGTTTGAAACAAAGGGTTGAATTTAAGCTCAAAGAGAGGGTTTTTATAGGGCTGGGAAAAATATTACCACATCGCCTGAGTTGACACAAAAACGCCAAAAGAGCTGGGCCGCCAAGAAAGTCCAAAACGTCTATTACAATATTTGTTGTGAAATTTTACTCGATTTACTTTACTGCCATATGCAATTAAAAAACATTATCACATTAACCCTAAACCCCATAGAGTAACAAACTGCAAATAATTATTAGGGTTAACTACACGGATGATCATTTATGATTGTATTTTGTCTATTTTTGTCATTGATTTTAAAAAACATAAGATATGGTCACTTTTGTCTTTATTTAATTAAGGCGTGGTCACTTTTGTTTTTATTTAATTAAGATGTGATCACCCCTAGTTAACTCCCATTAACAACATATAAATATTTTGATATAATCACACATTTGGTCCATTTTATTTACATATTCTCTCAATTTAGTCATATTTTTAATAAATTAAAATAAATTTAATCATCTAATCGAATGATGCTACTGTCATTGGTACCACGTGCCGTGTCATGTGTCACCATTCAGTTTGAAGACTAACTTTATTTATTTTAACAAAGCAAAACAAAGCAAATTGGTGGAAAATAAATATATTAAATTAAAATAAAGTTAGTCTTCCAACCAAATGGTGACACACGACACACGACACCAGTGACACGTGACATCGTTTGATTGGAAGATTAAATTTATTTTAATTTATTAAAAGTATGACTAAATTGAGAGAATATGTAAATAATAAGGACCAAATGTGTGATCATACCAAAATAGAATGTCACTTAATTTGTTAACCTTTAACGATAGTTAACCCGTAGTGATCACATCTTAAATAAATAAAAACAAAAGTGACTATATCTTAATTAAATAAAACGAAGGTAACCAAATCTTATCTATATATTTTGAAATCAATAATCAAAAGTGGATAAAACACAAACATAAGTGATCATTTGTGTAGTTAACCTAAGTTATTGAGATTAACAAGCATATCCTCCCCTGCGATTTCTAAGAAATCCCCTTCCTTGATATTTTATGTATCAAAACATAAGAAGGATAATGGTAGGGTAGTTTCAAATTTTTGATGAATCTTAATTTTATTTTAAAATTAAATTTTATTATTTGTATTCATTTTGATTTTAAATTTCATACGATTTTATCTGATTTAAAATCTGATTTGATTTTTTTGGTTAAAGATTGCATTTGGTCTGATCTAATTTAAATATATATAATTAATTTTTATTATGTAAAATAAGGATTTAATTAAAAATAAAAAGAATATTATTATAATTATCTTTAAATATAATGAATAACTATAATATTATGTTGAGTTGAATTGAGTCGTGTTAAATTTTTCATTCTAAATCGACTCGATTTTATCTTACACTTAGAAAACTAACCCAATATGACCCAAACTTAAAACTTTAAAATAAAAAAAAAATCAACTCAATCAATTCGGATCAGGTCATAACTCGTTAAATCTGAATAAAATAATCATCTCTATCAAACCCTTTTCTTTGGGATTAGTGAAATGATCAAAATAAAACATGGTCTATAATAATAAATTAAAATTAAAGCATAGTGTTATAAAGATATTTACCTGTTTCAATTTTTCATATATTCTATCTTTTAAAAAGAACTCACTGATGGAAAAATGATCCATCTTAAAATCTACCCACGCGTGAACCTTTTATGTCCAAAAGAACAGTGAATGTACGCTAGTGCATGAACACGAATTTTGTTCATGCAGTTCAACTCAACTTCGAGTACTCAACTGAGTAGTGGCTATTTGGCAGCGACAGACTTACTTTACGACTTTCAAAAGTTAGTCGGAACACGACAGGTAGATAATAGGGTTTTACTTGGTCAAAACTAAACTTCGTACTTAAAAATCAATTTTGCTTTTTTCATTAGATAAATTACCCCCTAAATATTATTGAATTTTGTCCGTTAACTCGCTTATACTATTGAGTTTTTAATTTTGTCAATTATAATATTAAATTTTAGTTTTATCTTACAACACTTTGCCGTTCAACAACCAGACGATGATATAACTAACTACGGATGACGTGATTATCAGAACACATACATATCAGAAAGAATGGGGGCTCTACTTTCTTATTTCGAGTATACAAAATTCAGAAAATTATATTAATCTTAGGGGAAAACATCCAACTTTCGAGATTACACCAGTGGATTAAATTTACTTCTAAGATGATAACTATATGTAGTGTTTTATGTAGTGTTAATATCTCGTTTTACAGGAAGTTGTTTTCTTTCTTCCTTTATTTTTTTAAAATGATACGGTAAGTCGTTTTCTAACAATTTAAACTTATAAGTATTTATATATTTTAACTATTTAGATAATGCAATTTATCTTATTTTTTGCCTTTGTGTTAATTTATACAAGTGAAGATTGTGAATTGATTTAAAATCAAATTCATAATAAGAAAATATATGACACAATCAATCACAGTTAGCGTGACATAGTGTTTATTTAATCTTTCAAAAAGACCAACTCCTTATATAAATATCTCTAAAAAGACAACTCCAATTTAAGTATTTAGTCTGCATTGTACGTAACAATATACAGACAAAAAAACCGGCGTTGATCGGAAATTGGCATATTAATTACTGGTTTTGAAACTTGAACGGGTCAAGATTCAAGAAACAGCAGCTGGTGCTCAAATTTCCCATTCGTGGGACCAAATACTAATTGTTACCAGAAACAATTTTCTTCAAATATTAAATAAATGTATAATTCCCCCTCTAATTAAAGATGTTGTAAGTCAAACAAAGGACTCGTGGGTCATAATAACCAAGGTTTGCTGTTGACTAAAACTCCTAACCCTGATTTCCTTTTAAAATTTAATTTTATATATGATTTTTTCATATATTTTTGTTAATTTTCTCAAATTATTAAAATAATTAATGTCTCAGGAATATAGTTAAACTTTGCAAAGTTCAACTGTTCAAACTCAAGATTTCTAAAGAGAATAATATTTTCTTTTATTACTGAGACTAATTATTGTATGTAATTTTAAAGTTTTTAATTTTAAAAAATATTAACTAGTAGCGCTATTTTATATGTTTATTAATTATTTATACGGTTAAGAGATATCATTAGCATGCAATATACACAAATAAGTGTAATTATTATATTTATTAATTGAAGTCGGCGACGGATTTACTTTTAGTTTAGGCTCAGAAAATGCTATTTTAGATTTGAATTTTTGTTGGTTTATTATTTATTTAACATTTTGTGTTTAATTTAAATTTTATTTATATAAAAAAATTATATTATTGATATAAATATTTATTTTCAAAAATATTTATGTATTTATTATTGGACAAGTAGTAGACAAGTGGGAGAGAAAGGCGAATGCCAAAGCTGCTTTGGCTTCAATATTTTTTTAAGGTTTAATATAAAATTAAGTGTCTAAATTTTGTCTCAAAAATGTTTTAGTGTCCAAATTATTTTTCATTAAAAATAAGTGTCTAACGTTTCTTCTGTACCATTTTAGGTGCCCGAACTTTAAGCGCCGTTAAAATTTCCGTTAAGTGACACGTGCCATGTTTTGGCATTTTTAAATTTTTTTAAAAATATTTTATATTAAAAATTAAAAAAAAAGTGATTCTGCATCGTCCTCCCTCCCCCTTCCCCACTTTCTCCCTCCCCCTTTTCTCCCTTCTCCCCTTCCCCTACCACGGCTAAAGGCCGACCAAATGGCAAACGATCGACCACGACATCCGATCAAACGGTCGATTACCATGATCGATATAAGGGATTTTTATAGATTCAAAACCTTAAAACGAAAATGTTCATTCACATCGTTTTTAGATGTTCTATTGGTTGCTAAAGTATGGGGCTTTTGGTCGTGGGTGGTTGGCCAGACACACGTTGTGTTGCGGAAGACGGCTATCAGATAGAGCAAAAAAGCAACTAATAATTTGAAAAAATAAAAATGAAGATAAAAGAGACACAAAATTTACGTGGAAAACCCTAAATAATATAGGATAAAAACCACGGGCAACGGTAGAAGAATTTCACTATTAGAAAATAGGAATTACAACTTCTCTCTATCTACCAAGGAGAAAACAATGATAATTCTCTCTTGATAAAAAGAAGAAAACAACTCTCAAGAAACTCTCTAAATTCTCTCTAGTATTGGAAGAAAGCTAGAACGCTTTGGGATGGTTTTGAAGCTAAATGAGCTAGGGTATTTATAGTTGAAGCTTAAGGACTAATTTGTAAATACCCTAAATTACAATGACTAAAAATGATTTTACCATTTTCCAAATTTCCACAAATGCTGCACCTTTTTAACCAATTCCGTTCAATGGAATTGTTTATTGCACTTTTCGGTGCTTTGCTTCAATTTTCAACAATCTCCCACTTGAAGATTTGATTGGAACAATCATATCTTCACACTATTCTTTCTACCTTATACAATCATGTTGCTTACGTTTCTGACAGGCCACAAGAGGATCGACACCAAGTAAATTTATCGGTATTGATCGCCTTCGTCATGAAATCTGCTATGTTGTCTTTGGTATGAATCTTCTGCATATCTATTGTCCCTTCTTCCACCTTTTCACGAATGAAATGGTACTGAACTCGTATGTGCTTTGTCCTTGAATGAAATGATAGATTCCTTGCTAAATGCATGGCGCTTTAACTGTCACAAAACAGAGAGACATACTTTTGATTGTGCCCAAGCTCCTCCAATAGCATCTTCAACCAAATTGCTTCTTTACTGGCTTGTGTAGCTGTTACATATTCTGCCTCTGTTTTGGATGTAGCCACAATTGACTGCAATTTTGAAACCCAACTTACAGCTCTACCAGCAATTTTGAACACATATCCTGTAGTAGATTTGCTTTTATCCAAATCCCCTGCATAGTCAGAATCTACATACCCATTGATTAGTAAGTTTGATCCTCCGTAACATAATGTAATATTTGAGGTCCCTTTGAT